ATCTGAGACTGCTATAACATGAAATATATGGCAGAAGGCAGGTAAAACAGAGCAGGGGAAGAACGGGTACTTACCTTCTGTAACTGTTGTTCTTCGAGATGTGGTGTTCACGTCCATTACACATTAGGTGATTCCCAAGCTTATCATTGGAGGTGGGTAGGAGTGTTGTACTTGAAGTACTGCACAGGATCTTTTCAGGGGGAATAAGGCAAAACGCCACATTTATTAGTAATACATGTATTCATTAACACTGTATTATATGCATATAATATATTACACTTACGCTCACACACACACACACACACACACACACACACACACACACACAAACCCATTCCGTCTTGTTGTTACCAATTAGTTGCTCCCCTTAACTTCACTGGCCAGGTGAGTTAGATGGGGGAGGGGGTGGAGCCGGGCTTCTGCCGATCCAGATCGATGCTCCCATGTTGACAAGACGAGATCCGGGGTCCTCTGCAAGGTCCACCTCACTTTTATAGCAGCTTTTCTCTTATGCAAATCTAGACCAGATTCAAACTCTGTGTCTGTGTCCATTGGTCCTTTGTGCTGCTTTCTTTTGAGTGTTGTCCCAATGCTGCAAAGAGGGTGTTTCCAAAAGAAGGTGGGTATGTCTGCTTGTCTTTAATGAGCCCACTTGACACGTTTTATTGTCCTTGAGTCTGGCTCCCAGCCCCTCTCCAACAGTTGAGGCTGTCTGGAGGTGCTGCCTTCCATGCCTTGTTCATTCACACCTCATTCATTCAACAGGGCAATTGATTAAGGGGGGAGGGGAGAGCTCTTGTTCTACTGCTAGCAAAAAGAAATTTTTCTTCTATCTTATTCTATCCTTAGGGGCTATAATATTATACCAAGGGCAATGCAAAGTTTCTAAATGAGGTTTTGATACAAAGTCCCATGAAAACAGAGGTCACACGTGGGTAGACCCACCACAAGGTTATATGAAGAGGCACAATGTAAAGTCATATGAAAATTATCAGAGATTGATCTACAGGAGTCAAGGTGTAACTGACTGTAGCACAGCCCGACCGACCATCGCGTCCTCTCTGGTCTGATGATGGATCGCGTAATGGGCTGTGAACGTATGCACGGACGACCAGGTGGCCGCCTTACAGATCTCCTGGATAGGGACCTGCGCCAAGAAGGCCGTTGAGGACGCTTGGGCCCTAGTCGAGTGGGCCCGGATCTCTGGGGCCGGGACGTTGGCGAGCTCATAACAGGTGCGTATACAATGCACAATCCATGCCGACAAGCGCTGTGTCGAGATAGGCAAGCCTTTCATACGTTCCGCAATGGCAATGAACAACTGAGGTGTTCTGCGGAACGACCTGGTCCGTTCCAGGTAGAATGCCAACGCCCTTCGGACATCCAGGGTATGTAGGCTGCGGTGGTGAGGGTCCGTATGGGGTTTAGGAAAGAACACCGGTAGGCAAATGTCCTGCCCCATGTGAAACTGTGATACCACCTTTGGGAGGAATTTGGGGTGCGGCCTCAGTTGCACCTTATCCTTATGAAACACTGTATAGGGTGGTTCCGAAGTGAGGGCCCTCAATTCCGATACCCTCCTGGCCGATGTGATGGCCACGAGAAACGCCACCTTCCACGAGAGGTGCGTGAGGGAGCAAGCGGCCAGGGGCTCAAAGGGGGGACCCATGAGTCTTGTTAGGACTAGGTTCAGACTCCACGCCGGGACAGGCGGGCGTGAGTAGGGAAACACCCTCTCCAGCCCCTTGAGGAATCGGGCCACTGTGGGGTTGGAGAACACGGACACTCCCAACTCTCCCGGATGGAAAGCTGAAATGGCGGCTAAGTGCACTCTAACTGAGGCGGGCGCAAGCCCTTGATTCTTGAGGTGCAGTAGGTAGTCCAAGATCGACAGAACTGAGGCTTGTAAAGGCTGTATGCGTTGAGGCTCACACCAGTGGGAGAACCTTTTCCATTTGGCCAGGTAGGTCGCTCTTGTGGAGCTCCATTCTGCGATAGCTGCTGTGGTCAATGTTCATGTGTAGACAAGCCCTCAGTAACCAGAAGGCAAATAAAAAGAACCTCACATTGAAGAAAAAAATCTCACAATTTAAGCTAATCTCGTGATTTTGGGGCCTGAATCATGATTTTGCAATACTTGGAGCAGACAAATACTGGAGTCAGAGAAACTATTTACAGAGACAAAAGTGACACTGGTTTGTGAAACTGATGGAACTGAACTTTTTAGAGCAGGGAGCTCATTCCATTCCGGTGATGTGGGCAGGAGGGGAGGTCCGTGCTGATGATACCAAGGTGACAGGTGCCTTAGAAGACTCCCTGGCTGAGTAAGGAGAGTGCTGGTGAAGACCTTTGGGGGTTTTCCCTCTTGTAAAGCTCTTATGACCTTCTAGGACAGAAAGTGGAAGAGAAACAAGGGAATTTGGACAGCAGGGTCTGAAAGGAGTTTGGAAACACTGAAGTGTAATTTGAGGAAGGTCTCAGTATGTACTGAGGGGACCAGAGACTCCTTGAGTGAGGAACATTCTCCTCTCTACCAAGTCAGAAGCTCCTTGGGGCATGGACACTCTTTGTCGTGTGTTCGTACAGTACCTAGCACAATGGGGTCCTGGGCCATGTCTGGGGCTCCCAGGCGCTACCACAATACAGGTAATAAATAATAATGATGACTTAGAGGTGGAAGCTGCATTGAGAAGAGAATTACAGACAATGATTTAGTCACTTCGATGGGTGTCTCTGATTCCTTCACCCCTCAGACACAGGATGGGAGGTGGACATAGATCAGCTAAACTGCTCCCCTTTGCCATTCAGATCAGGGTTGGACAGAGAGTCTCTGAAGCAGAAGAGGGGAAATACCCTATGACCAAGTCTCAGGCAGTGTTTCCCGACCTTTTTGATACTAGGGACCAGTTTACTGCCTTCCTAAACTGTGTAGGGAGACCTCAGGGACTGGCGCTGGGCCTTGGACTGCTCACTGAGAAACACCGGCTCTAGCACGGACGGTGTGTGGCTCTAGCATTTAGAGAGTCTGGCCCGAGTGCTGGAAGCTCCCTCGGCACCCAGACCATGGCCCCGCCCCCTGTGCGGCTGCCTCCTGAGGCCCCGCCCACACTCCACTCCCGCTCCGCCCCAGGCCCCATAGGTGCCGACTTCTGCTCCCGCCAATGGGTGCTTGACCCCCACTCCACCCTCGGCCCCGCCCCAACTCCACCCCTTCCATGAGGCCCTGCCCCTCCTGCCCCTGCCCCCCCCATTCCAACCCCTTCCCCAAAGTTCCCGCCACAACTTTACCCCCTCCCTGTCCCTATTCCAACCCCTTCCCCAAATCCCCACCCCTGCCCCGCCTCCTCCCCTGAGCACGCCCCATTCCTGCTCTTCCCCCTCCCTCCCGGAGCACGCTAACGCTGCCAAACAGTTGTTTGGCGGCGGCCGGGCAGGAAGCACTGGGAAGTAAGTGGAGGAGTGGGAACGCGGCGCGCTCAGGGGAGGAGGAGGTGGGGCGGGCAGGAGGGGAGTTTGGCTACCGGGGGGTGCAGAGCACCCACTAATTTTTCCCCGTGGGTGCTCCGGAGCACCCAGAGAGTCGGAACCTATGTCAGGCCCCACTCACACTTGGCCCTCTCGCCCGTCAAGTCCCTCCCCTCCTTCACCCCCTCCCCCTTCCCTGAGACCCTCACCGTTCACTGCATCCCTCCACTCTTCCACCTCCTGGAGGAAGGGAGGCCACGCCCCTTCCCTGAAGCCCCACCCTGCTCACTTCATCCACCTCTCCCTCCGTTGCTCACTCTCCCCCACCCTCAATCACTTTCACCACGCTGGGGCAGGGGTTCGGGAGTGGGGGTGCGGGCTCTGGGCTGGGGCCGAGGGGTTTGCAGTGTGGGAGGGGGCTCTGGGCTTAGCCTGGGGCAGGGGGTTGGGGTGCAGGAGGGGGTGAGGGGCTGGAGCAGAGTGTTGGGGTGCAGGAGGGGGTACGGGGTACTGGCTCTGGGAGTGGGGTCAGAGCTGGGGCAGAGTGTTGGGGTGCAGGAGGGGGTACAGGGTACTGGCTCTGGGAGGGGGCTCAGGCCTGGGGTGCGAGCTTCCGCCGGGCAGCTCCTGGTCGGCGGCACAGCGAGACTAGGGCAAGCTCCCTGCCTGCCCCGGCCCCACGTCGCTCCTGGAAGAGACCAACACGCCAGTGAGGCCCCTGGGGGGGCACATGGTGCCGCACGCTGCCCCTCTCTGCAGGGACTGCCCCCACAGCTCCCATTGGCCACAGTTTCCCGTTCCCGGACAATGGGAGCTGTGGGGACGGTGTTTGCAGGCAGGAGCAGCACACAGAGACCCCTAATTCACCCCTCACCTCTCCCTTGAAGAGCCTCCTTCCCATACTGCTGGTATTTTCTTAGCCACTCAATACACCCCTTCTCTGTGTACTGCTTCCGATACTGAAGATCAGCTGTATCCTCATTCCATCTGCGCTGGGTGATCTCAGCTTCCTTGACCGCAGCTACCCACGTGTAAGTGTTCATATCGAAGCTGATGAAGTCGTCCCCATCATATGCAAGTTGCCGGGACCCCCCGATGCTGCCATCCTCCCGAATCTCACAGCCGCTCCTGCGCTGCAGAGTGTGAAACCCTGAAACACACGTAGTTAGTAGAATTTAAGATAATTTTATTAACTATTTTGAAAACTAAAATGCCCTCTAATCAATTATATTGGCCACAGCCTGGCCTCTCATATGGCTCCTTTGTGCCACTAGGTGGGACAAGGGTCTCTAAAGCAGCCCTAATTGGGCAAGTGAAAATTTACTCCAGGTGGAAACAAACCTGGGGGGTACAGAGCTGACTAGCTGGCTGCAGACCACCCCACTTTCTCACACAGGTCTACACTACAAACGCTGCATCAGTGCAGCTACACTGCTGTAGGGGGTTAATGAAGATGCTCAAAGCTGATGGGCGAGAGCTTCACCTGTTGGCTTAGTGTATTCACCTCCGCGAGAGGCGGTGGCTCTGCTGGTGGGAGAAGCTGTCACGCCAACATAGCGCCGCCCACACCAGTGCTTACGTCAGTATAACTACATCACTCAGGGGTATGGATTATTCACACCCCTGAGCAACATAGTTATACTGAAGTAATTTTGTAGTGTAGACCAGGGCTCAAGTCCTGGTGGAGGGCTGTGGAGAGAGATTGTGTCTACAGTGTAACCCCCATCTGGTGTAATAGCCCCTCATGGGCTGCTGCAAACTGGCATACTTCACAGCAATCCTAAGGCCGGGAGTGGGGAGTGTGAACCAGCCCCAGGACTGGGGGATGTAAATGTGGTTTAAAGAGGAATTCTGCTCCGGTGATTTTGGGGATTCAGCCCAGGGAGTGCAAAGTGAGTGTAAAATATTTCCACCTTTGTGAATGGAGAATTCTGGCACTGTACTGTAACTCCTCACTTAACGTCCTCCCGCTTAACGTTGTTTCAAAGTTACGTCGCTGCTCCATTAGGGAACATACTCATTTAAAGTTGTGCAATGCTCCCTTCTAATGTCATTTGGCTGACTTTACCAGGGAGCATGGCACAAGTTCCTCTTCTCCGCCTCCTCCCCCTCCCTCCCTCCCACCCAGCACTTCCCCCGCTGCCAAACAGCTGTTTGGCGGCGCTTAGGACTTTCAGGGAGGGAGGGAGGAAGGAAGCAGGTGGGGAAGCTGCCCCCCCCCCGGCAGGCAGGGCCACCCAGAAGGCAGGGCCCTGGCCTGCAGCTCTAAAGCCCCTTTCGGAATGTGGCCCTGCGAGCACAGGCTGGAGGACTCAGGAGGAGCAGGGGCAGCCACACAGCCAGCGGCTGGAGAGAAATGATGCTTTGAAGGGGAAAGTGTCATTTCTCTCTGGTCTCTGGCTGCGCGGCTGACCCTGCTCCTCCCGAGTCCTCTGGCCCGTGCTCGCAGGGCCGCACTCTGAAAGGGGCTTTAGAGCTGCAGGCCAGGGCCCCGGGACCCCCTTAGCCCAGGGCCCTGCAGCCCCTAAAGCCCCTGCGTTCCGGGTGGCCCTGCTGGAGCGGGGGGAGGAGGGGCAGGGCAGCTCACACAATTGTGGTCATAGGGGTGGTGCCACACTGCACAGAGACACCTGCACACCCCCTGCACCAAACAGGAGCTGTCCTAAGTAAGTGGTCTGCACCTCCTGCCTGCCCCAGCCCTGAGCCTCCTCCCGCACCCCCACCCTGACGCGCCCTCCCGCACCCTAA